ATGGCGGTTGCATTGTCATACCTCAAGCTTCGCTCAACAAAGACCGCCTGTGCAACGGCGGTATTGCTGCCGCCGTTGCTGCTTCTGGCTGCTGTTGCTGCGCTGCCGAGGGGAACGAACGAAAGTGCGGTATTGACGTCGAAAAAGGAAGAACAACGACATAATCTCGAATCATCATGCGAGATGAGTATCCGGCCGCGCGGCGCGGCGAGGCCGTCCCGAGAGAAGCGTGATTTTACCTACTCGTTAAACGTTGAACGAGGCTCCTCGCTTCCGGTGAACCCCCCGCGGTACCTTCGTGTGCGTTTCGATACGGATTGTCGATGCTAAATCGTCCACGCGGCTGTTAACACGTACGCGCGTTATCCGCGCGAGACGCGAGAACCGCCGGGAACAATAACAGTTGCGCGGCGCGGCGATGTATCGAAAGTTATTCGATTACACGGCTCAATTACGATAAGCTCAATTACGACGTTATTATAGTTTAATGCAGAACGCGGCTGTTAATGGATGGATGCATAACGCGTCTATTATGATGAGAAACCGCGTCATTCGTAATATATTCTATAAACGCTCTGTTGTGTAAACGTCAAAACATATTCCGTATATATCACACGGTGTCACCAATATTTGGCTACTACCTATAGAGCCTTACGCCAAATCGTGCGTAATGTACAATATCGAAGTTTTTTCTTCTAAAATAAGAAATATATTTCGAAGCTACCATCTTATACGATAAATTCTCCCTTCCCTCTTTCCTCCTTTTTTTAATCCTCACTCTCTATCTTTTTGTTCTTACTTTATTTTTCTTCTTCTCTTATCGCGGGACGCCGCAAAAATCGCTTCGAGCCGCGATAAAAGCACGCCGGGTTATCCTCGCGTCAATTAGCGCGATCGCGCACCGGGGGGAATTTCGCCGTGTTCCCCGACGGCGTGCCCGGTTCGCGCCTCGAGGGAGCGTCATCGCCGCATTACGGCCGAGTAATCTCCTTTATCGTGTCCGGATCCTGATTAATTTAAAAATATGCACGCGTTAACGACGCGTACGGTATATCGCGAGCAACGGGCACGCATTATCGCGCGCGAGGAGACGCGAGGAGGCGCGAAAAGAGAAAGAGAAGAGAGAAGGAAGAAGAGAAGACGGCGAGCGCGGGACCAGCCTGGCTCGCGAGATCCTGCGAAGGACATCCGCGTGCTGGAAGAACCCCACGCGCGGATGTTACCACGGCCGGCTAACTTCCCCCCTGTAACAACGGAGGAGGAAGATCGCGGACGGGGGGCGGAGGGAAAGAAGACCCTGCGCGCGTGAAGTCAGCTTTACGACAATATAATTTTGGAAGCGACACACGAACGGCGTGGAATGCGACGATCGGAGTCAACGAACGGCGTATAGAAGTCTTCGATACGTCGTAAATGGCCCCCCGTCCCTCCCCCGACCCGTCGCTGCGCTCCTGATCGTACACGGACCTCTCCTCTTGGACAGAGGAGGCTTATACAGGGTGTTTCGTGAATACGCCACGCGGGCGTGTCCCTCGAGATAAGTCGATCGTGGATCTTCCTATCGCGGAGAGCTTCGTACCACTTCGTGGTAGGATCATAAAATTGCTTAACAAATTGAAAGCGAAAACGGAGAAGACTCTCTGAACAATAACGCTTCAGACATAAACGATCAATCTATGAGCTTTGCTTTCGAGATATTTTTACTTGAGGTTCAATTATCAATTTCTGAGCCAAAGACCTGAAGAATGGAAGGGAAAGAAGGCGATCAGTTGCTTGAAACTTTCATTGCGGAAAAACTGTCTTCAAATCCACGTAAATTCCCCGAAAGTTCGGAGAAATTTCACAAATGCCCTGTGCATTGTCACGTGCACGATGCAACTGCCTACGGACGACGAAAAATCGACGTCGTCGGATCCTGAAAACGCCGTCGACACGATCGGCCGGTCTCGTCGTCGGCAAACAGAGCTCGGTGACTCTACGTTATATGGCCTATCGAGAGGACGGCGGAGGAGGTCGAGGCGAGATACCCACCGTGACGGCCGGCGTCTTCGGGAGGATACATCCATAAATTTCGGCGCACCGGATATTCCCCGGGAATATTCGACTGCATAGGTCGGATCAATAACCGTATAAAGTACGGGAAGAAAGAGCGTAGCGCGGCACGTATTCGCAGTATTCGGTCTCAGAGCGTGAACGTGCGTGGACTGGGGAAGGAGTCCGCGGAGATCGGAGTAAAATAGAACCTCGCGATCACGTCGCTGTGTTTTTCCTCCGTGCAACAAGGAGCAAACGCGCGAGGCAGCCTTTACGCACTTTTTGTTCCGCCGTAACTTCGCGCGCCGTTCGCGGATATGATCAAAAGTGCATGTGAAATTGTTGCCGAACATTTCCGCGGTACGTGACGGGCGGCAGGCAGGTGGCCAGGCGAGAGATGACAGGGAAAAGAATTCACACAATCATGTCAATCCGGACGGTGTCATTGTTTAAAGACTCTTCCGGAAGATCATAAAATAATTCTTGACGATCTTTCCCCTTTTCATAATCCGTAATTGTAAATTTGCATCGCGTATCGTCAAATTGTAAAAAAACAACGGATATTTCTGAATTCATGTTTATATATTAAAAATTTAAGAAGTGTTTCGACAGACGACTTACAAAGAGTCAATATCATACCGATCTTTCATATACTTTATTAAATTCCGAGCATTCTAACGTAGGAAGGAGCGGCTGCTCTTACCTAGATAAGGTATCAAGGGACATCCCGGTGCGACGTACCGTTACTGGAGCGAAAACGATGCGGTACCGTAAAAATTGGAACGGGAGAAACGTCCCATAAAGTATTGTTTTACTTTCGGTGCGTTTCCCGATAAAATCGCGGCTAACCCGTCGGCGAGTCTCGTTTGAAATCGAGAAGAAACTGATGGTCCGTAAAGAGCACGCCGCGAACGGTCCATCTCGGACGTCCCGATTATATCGGGTGGGTCGGTGCTCGCGCCCGAAGCGCTGCCAAGGGGGCTGCTTCAGAAAGAGAGAGAGAGAGAGAGAGAGAGAGAGAGAAAAGAAGTAAAAGAAAAAGAGAGAGACCCCTATTGTTGTGCTTAATTTAGCGTTAAATTGTTTACATCTCATTAATCGCGCGGCAGACAACAACGGTGGGACCTTCGGTGCAGCAATAGACCGTCATGATCATCGATGCCAATCATGGGAAGAAGGGCGTGATTCAAGTCCCCCTCGGACATCAATTCGTCTATTGCCACGTTCCCGATTCCTCGCACGATCGAAACGCATCCGTTTACGCTTCGCAATTCCGCGTTGGGTCCGATCGAAAGACTTTTTTCCGATTAAGGGATACAAATAAAAAAAATTAGTTTAACTCTCTCTGTTCATTATTCTGTTCCAGACCTATGTGCATATATCTTGCTTTATTCTTTTTTAGTCTGTTCTATTCGCTAAACAATTAGCGAAAGAGTCAACTCAAGAATAGACTAAAACAAGATAGTTACTGTATTAAATACGTTTATAGGTCTGGTTCTTATCCCTCTCCTTCTTGTTATCTTTAAATCAAGTTGTACTCTTGAATTTTGTTTCTCCTCGAATTTTTACTGCGCTATAGAAACGTTTGCTCGTAGAAATGTGTGTACATGAGTGTATATGCGAGTGTGTTGAGACTTGGACTCGCGAATTCGCTAAGCCTAAATGGTTGTGCGCATCGGTTATCCCGGGAATCTGGACAGATCTCTCTTCTCGCCCTATGTGCCCTATTTCGCGTCGATGAAATCAGTGTTCGAAACAACGTCTACTTGCTCCGACCGATTTCGTCGAGTTTGCAACGCGGTAGTAACGCAGTTAAGCCGCGTTAGTACGCAAATGATATCGGTTTCGATTACGCATCGAGCACCGCGTAGGCCGTAAGGAGATAGTCGGATTTCCGCCGTAAATATTACGTTAATCTTCTTAGCTCAGTTGGTGACAAACGAAATTGTTCGCAAGGATGACATGGGCGAGTATGTTTAAAAAAATAATAATAAAAGGCAATATAGCGAAGATATTAGGGAAGATCGTGAAGAAGAAAGAAATATTCTCTTTACAAGGCACGATTGCACATGTTCCCAAAATCAATGAAATATTTGTCAGTTATCTCATACGAAAATCGTATATATTCAGGTCAAATACCAGTTTTATGGCTTTTTACAATACGCATGTTAAAGTACACGATAAAATGTAAAATTTGATTAATATCGGTAGGTCTAGTATGATGCGTAATAAAGAACATGGACGTCCATGCGCGTCTTGATAAACACATCTCATAAAATTAAAATACTCGGCAACGATTTATTTGCCGATATAAAGCTACAAAAATACCCGTTTACATCGGCGGTCGTAAAATATTTTTAACGGCGTGGCTTTTCTGTCGCCGCTTTAGTAAGCTCGTAAGGGTTTACGGGCTATGATCATAGTATAATTTCACATAATGAGAACTCTGGTACTCGATCGGACGGGGGATACGGCGTACTATCTACACGGAATCTCATGTTATCGGCTTTCAATAAGGTTGATAAAGTCAGCCGTAGGGAGACGCGAGGAGAGAGAGTATCAAACGCCTATAAAGGAGATGCACCTCGCGAATAATTCACTCATTATCTGCATCATCTCCCTTCTACTTCAGCAATTTCCAGAAAACGTTGGAAGACTTAGATACACGTGTTTTAGTAAACACGGGTATATCGCGAATCTAATTTCTTAGGATCTCCGTACGTTTCGAGCCACATGATACAAATTAAATGTCGCGCGATTAATAATTAATTCGTCAATTTTAGCTTTTGTTAAATTGATACTGTGCACAGATATTGGCATAACGTGCACATCACGGTTAAAACAAAATAATTACGTAAGGCGCAAAATTTTGCAAATATATTCTTCGATTTGTCAATTTTCAAGCATTGTAGCTTTGAAAACAAATACGATTTATATAGGTGATTAATTTAAGTCTATTGACTCACCGGTTAGATGACTTCCAGTGAATTCGAAATCGTCGTCTTGGTCCCAATGCTTCAAACTCAAGTTTGACAAGGACGTTGCGTTGGCAAACTCCAAGTTTGCAAAATGCCAATCCAATATCTGCCGATCCTTCGATGATAAGTAGACGTCACTGTATTAAAAAAAAAATAAATTTATATCAAACTTATTTATATATAACATTGAGAACAGCATGTATAGAATATATAATGTATATTTACCTGGGAGGTGATGCCTCTAACTCTTGTAATTTTGCTTCGATTTCTTTCTGTTGATCTGATAACTGATCCCACTCCTAAAGAATAAAAGAAATGAGCATATTACACATTTTATATTTGTTTCATTTATCATTTTGCCACAAAATTGTATCTTTCATTAAATTATGTACCTTGCAAGCATTATGGAGATCACGCAGCTTAGATCGGAGCACGAATTCCTGTGTTATATCTCGAGTTTGTGATTTACTTTCTGTCATTTCCTTGTATTGTTTATTCAATTCCATTAAACGATCCATAATAGAGATCATCTGCGACATAAATTTAGTCATCATTTAATCAAAACTTTATATAAAATCAAAAATATTTCATCAAACAATAATTTTCAATTATACGTACTCTATGCTGATTAGTGATTAGCCGTCCTTGCAACGAGAGTACAGACCGCAGATGCGCTACTTGACGCTGCTTTACGCCCTGTTCTTGTAAACGTATTACCCATTCTAATGCTTGGCCTAAAGATACTGGACGCGTATTACCCCCTTGCCCTCCAGATCCTGCACTATTTACGTAATTGAAATCCAGTTGATGCGAGAGATAAGAAGTTGCTTCGAGTAATCTGTTAAATTCTCTCTCAACCATTTCATCTTTATCTTTAGGAACCTGCAAAAGATATAAAACATACTGCTTTTAAACTGTGTGGCATATAATTAATATATATTAACATAATTATAGAATAATCGTTTCATTTTACTAAGAAACATTATGATAACAACTGTATGAAATTTAATAAAATCTAATTTCATTGTTTTATTAAAATATTCCGAACGTACCGTTTGGCCGTCGCTTTCGTACAACGGACACTTTTGTCGTATCTTATGGAGTTCCATATTAATTTGTTTACTAAGAGTCGTTACAGGATTTCCACCTAGACCCGTGACCACCATAGCTCCCAAATCCGCAATATAATTTGATTTACGGAACGTGGCGATTCGTCCACCAACGCGATCCTAAAATGCAAATTAATAACAAATCAGCAAAACAAGAGTAAACTCAAAAATAGATTAAAACAAGATAGTTGCTAAGAACTTACTCTAGCTTCCAACACAATTACTTCTAAGCCGAATTGTTGCATTTGTTGAGCTGCTGCCAATCCAGCAATACCAGCCCCTATTACAATGACTTTACCTAATTTTTTGGTTGGCAAGGGCTGTAACAGACAAATATAGATTACTCATTTCTCTGGTGACAAATAACATATATATATTGTATGATACCAATTGCAATATTGATTTAATATATTAAAATTGAAGGTGCTAAATAGCACTACTAAAACAGTTATTTGTCGAGTAAAAGATCCAGTTAGTTAACAGTTATATATCATATAAGTACTAAAATTTTACACATGTAAAATATTTCTTAAATTACCTTAAGACGTTTAAACATTCCGAAATTTATGAAACCATGTCGCTCTAAAAAGGCATGAATCCTACGAGCGAGCACTGTATCACTATTATAAGGCGATTCAATTTGCGGCAATGCATTTTCGATGATTAACTGTTGCTTAGGATTTTCCAGCCAAATTTGCAACTAAAATTCAATCGCATTAGAGAAAGAGCGATAAAATCGATTAGCTTAAATACTTACAAGTCTATTTCTAATATGTAAGAACACTTTCTGTGTTTGCGGCGGTCCACCGGAGATGTCGGGGAAACAAGCAGCTTCGGTGGATGTCAATTTATCAAATGGAAGACGGCTTTGAAAGGCTGCGCCTTCCAATCCATTCAACAATGCCTTCACTACATGTACAAATATAAATTAATATCTCTATTAACATTACGAGGTTCAAATAATTAATTCTCAAAATTTACCATGTGGATCTTCGTGATCGCTCTCTTGATCATCATCTTCCTTAATCTCGGCTTTTGAGGCGGAAGGTACAGGAGCAGGCACTGTAGACTCAGATTCCTTTTTTGCCTCCAGGGGAGCTTTCTTCTCAGGTGTTACGAGGCCAGTTTTAGATTTCTCTGATGTATCCGAGGCATTCTCGTCTTCCAGCTGATTATACTTTTCCTCCATTTCTCTGTACTCCACCTATGATCGAATATAATGTAAATAGTCTCTTCTGACATTAAATACTTATTACATAAATAAGAAATGTTATACCAATAAAAAATGCTTGAAAATAAGATAAAAAATATAACTGTTGCTAGATGATAGTAACTAAGTAAATATATATCACCAAGTGATATATTATCCCACAAATGTGTTTGTAATAAAAAAAAACATGTTTCCTTTTTGACAAAGAAAATGAAATGTCATGAATGGTCATGAAATATCAGACAAGACTCATTCGTCTCATTTATTATCGCGTGAAAGATAAAGCACAAGTCGACCCGACCAGCGTATCAACGTCAGGATCGACGCTTCGTTTAACCGCAAACATCGAAACCATTATTCCCGGATGAATCTTAATGGGAGGGAAATGCAAAAGACGCGCACCTTTGCTCTTTTCCTGCGACTCATGTCGTGCTGGTTGTTTAAACGTCGGCGGATTATTTAATATCGGTCCGGAGTAATCGTGGCGAGAGCCTCGCGAGTTTGTTTTGATGCTTGAAACAGCCGGCACACACATAAACCCAAGATAGGCAGTCACGGAGTAACGCGACGCGGGAAACGCAGCGCCCGCGCCGTCGTGAAACACTTGGAACCCGTCGACCCGACGCCATTCAGTAGACGAATCCGATGAACATCCGCCGATAAGTGGAGAACTAGAGAACGACGTGAACTGCGTCGGTAATCGCACCTGCACGTTCCAATAGGCCTGTTTGTTTTAGCTGAACTTGCACATTTTATCCTTTCTCTTTTTCTCTCCAACGATTGAATCCAAAAGCCCCTTGCACAATGCAACAGGCAACAGGCAATAGGAACAGGAAATAACAAAAAAATCGTTAATTACAACCTAAAAAATTCGAATACTATGATTGGTTGGCAATAGGCACAGAATTTCCAACGTGACGGAAACTCTGTGTCTATTGCCAGTGTCACTGTTTATTCTGCATTTATACATGATTTCTGATTTCTATTCCCTGTTCCTATTGCCTGTTGCCTGGCATTGTGCAAGGGGCTTAATGACTGCAGTTCCTAATGATCGCAAACCTAATGATTGCAATTCCTTGACCTCCTCGCGATGACCTGAGAATCCTAAGATAATCTAAATTAGAGCTTATATATGCGATAGAATAGATATGTATTGCGCCTGTTCATTTTAGCAGTTTTAGCTGAACTTCTTGCACGATTCATCTTTTCTCTTTTTCTTCTCACTTTGGAGAGAAAAAAAGAAAAGATGAACTTTGCGATCGAGTTCAGCTCAAACGAACAGGCCTAATATACATATACATATCGATCACATGCTCCAATTTGTCACATCATACACAGGGTGTTATCACATAATAAATGATAAGCTCTAACTTAGATTGTCTCAGATTAGGTCACTCAAGGAATTGCAGGTTGTAAGCATTAGGTTTGCTTCCTTCCAGTTGTATATACGTGACATTCTCACTACTTTTGAAAGATTCACATTTATTGTGATACTGAAATCAGGATCTATATTAATTTATTTACAATGTCTGAGATAACTGTACGAAAAGCTAGACGTGAGGACTGTGAAACCATTAGAGCACTCATACAGGTATATATAATTTTGTCGATAAACTGATGCGAAGGTTAAACAATTAATACATGAAGAACATCATTTTGCAGGAATTGGCGGACTTCGAGAAGATACCTGACGGTCCGCATATTGATTCTAAGAGTGAGATTTATGTATATATACTTGTATATTACACTAT